CAGCAACATCGAATAGTGCAAAGTGTGAAACGAGACGCATGCGACGCGTCCTCTTTATTGGGCCTACGGGGAGTGGAAAGTCGACTTTAATCAATGTATTAATTAACAATGATGTGACTAAAGCGGCAATGTTGGGCCCAGCCACGGCAACTGATACTGCGGCTGGTGTCACAGCTGCTTTTGTTACTTACTACGACCTCCCTGATAATGCATATACAGATTCGATAGGCCTTGGGGACAATCGCTTCAATTCTAAACAGCTAATGCAGTCGTTAAAATCAGTTCTACAGAATTCTTCAGTCGGCTACAATAAGATTTACATATGTATTCGATATGGCCGAATTTCAGCAGACATACGAAAATATATTAATTTGATTACGGTCATATTTGGTGCTAGTGTGTTAAAATGGTCTTCTATCATATTCACCAATTGTAATGATCAAGAAATGACGACAGAAAAATACTTATCGAAAAATGCTGGAGATTTTGATATGATCAAAATTATTGGTAGCGTAAACTCTGCTGTCTTTGGTGATAATGCGATAGATCAAGATCCACAGTTAGAAACCATTTTCAAGGGTCGACGACAAAGTTTTCTGAACCGAATCAAACAAAATCTTGATGAAACAGCCAATGAAGAATATTTCAAACTGCGTAAAAAAGGCATTGTAGAAAAAATGCGCCAGACAATGAGGTTGTTTTTCGGTCGAAATGATAAATTCGCGGTCGTCGTGAACGATATAATAAGTTTTGCTAAGGCATTCGCTGACGCAATGTCTTCATCAAATTACGCTAATTACTTTGGTGAATGCTCAATATGTTGCGAAGATTTGACAGATAAGAATAAGCCGGTAATAACTAAATGTCATCATATATACCATGAAGAGTGTTTGATACAATGGGTACGAGAAGAAGGCCAAAGAGAGTGTCCAGTTTGTCGTGGAACATTCGATGACTCAACACAGGAGTTCTTTATATCTTTAACGATTAATACATAAATCATTTGGAAGGTGTGGGTATGGGTGTGGGTATGGGTGTGGGTGCTTGGGTCGTGTCTTCTCATTTGCGGACATAAAATCGAAATTCAAAATCTGTTAAATTCAATTTCAATTGTTTTTTAAATTTAATTTATTCAAATTCAAAATAATCTTAGATCTCAAATTTTCTGTTTTCAAATTTCAAAAAAATTATTGACAACAATTTTAATACAACTTAAACTTTCAATTACATTTTTAAACTTGCTGAAATTTATAGAGTTCGCTAAAGATTGAATTTCATTATTTCAATTTAACTAGCTGTAATTTCTAGAGAGCGCTAAACTACAATAGTGCTTCTTTTCTTTTTAATTACTGCAATTTATAGAGTTCACTAAATATTGAGTTTCACTATTTCAATTTAATGAACTGTAATTTGTAGAGTGCGCTAAAATATAGTAGTGCTTTTTTATTGTTAATTGACTGCAATTTATAGAGTTCGCCAGACATAATTGTAACGGTGAAAGCCATCATCTGTTTTTGATTTTGAACAGACTATACAATTATGATTATAAAATGGAATCAAATATTGAATGGAGACAACTGATTGTGATGAAAAAGTTTTTATACATAAAAATCAACAATACAAAAATGATGTTCTAAAATAGACGGCTTAGAAATATAGATGTTGATGAGCGTCTTCTCTTAACGATCACAGCTCGTTCTTCCCACATCACATTCGGAGCAAATATCGATTATCACAACAAATTATGATACAATCTCCTTAAAAACTAGCTTTGTCTTTAACTAAAATCGTTCTTAGTTAAACCCAAATCGACCATCCTTGCTCGTGCATTTTAAGTGTTAGTTTATCAATAACAAAAGAAAAACAAACCAACTAGTACATTCTAACTTTGACTTCAATTATAATTCTTCGTAGCTAGGTCCGAACGAAAATCATAATTCAACCTAAACTTAACGTCCTCTACAAATTACAGTAATGGTACTAAATTCAAAAAAAAATTTCTCTAATCAAAAACTTGCGTCCTCTACAAATTGCAGTAACTATCTGAAGCTTAAAAAGCTTCTATGGTCAAAAAACTAACGTCCTCTACAAATTGCAGTATGCTTAGTAAAAAAAAATAGCTTTTTTAAAAATCTTTTAAAACAATTTACTTTCAATATTCGTTCACAGTAATCAAGGTATGGGTGTGGGGTGTGGGTGGGTGTGGGGTGTGGGTGGGTGTGGGTGTGTGTGGGTGTGGGGTGTGTG